GACTCATATTTTGGCAAGTTTTTTAAACCACGTAATTCACCCCCCTCTTAGGTTGTTTTCGATCCTTACAGAGAAATTGTCATTAAAGATAAGTAATTATTTTTAAAGAAACCATTTCTCTAACCAATACTCTTAAATTCATTTATATTTGCTTACTTGCTTTAGCTATGAGCTACAGTATGGCAAAAAAGTATTAAAACCACGTTCCTTAAATGGAAATAACAAATGGTTGTTTATGTGACCCCACTTAAAAGTTTCTACATCTTGTGTGCCAACAAAATAATTGTCCAAGAGTTGTATCATCCATTTTGATGAGATAATCAAAGAATTCGTTTTTATCAAAAGTGAGGATAAGTTTTGTACTTATGTGTGATTTAGTGGGAGCTATCATAGTATCTTTGTTATATAAGTGATTGACATACGATACGTGAAAAATGTATACTTATACATCAAAATTTTAGGTATAATTATCCAAAATTTTTTCCATGATATTACGGAGAAACAATATTCTTTTTGGGAGTAATGATTTATATTGATAGATCATGATTGCTTGGCCTTTCACATTACATAGATAAGATGCTAAAAATGTTTAGCATGAAGTGATCTAAGAAGGGGCTTTTATCTATATTGCATAGAATAATACTTTCAATGTACTAGATTTATTGTCTCCTTGATCCATGAAGAATTAAAATTGGAGTTTGAGAATATATTTATGAACAATCTAACAAAAATAATTTGTAAGTAATTATACATTTACTTATAATATTGGTAGTGTGTGTTGAAAGAATTTCAAGTGAAACACAACTAAAATTTCTATAGTTAAAACTTAACAAGTTGCTACTTGAGAAGTGGCAAAAGAAAACATTTGGATCTACAAGTTTAAACTTTGAGTTTGGATTGCTTCCTTCGTTAAAAAGTCCTTTAAATTGTATTGTGTTTATAATGGAAATTTTCCTTAACAAAAGAACCAAGATCCTATTATAGACTCATGGATTTGTTAAGGTGCTACCACATGATTTTGTAAAATCATTGGTAGAAATAAGAGTGATGATAGAAAGAGTACTCACAATGACACCGTAGTTGATCCGTTTTGTACTAAAGCTTGTCTTAGAGAAAATAGGATGGTCATATAGACTCATTTGATCTTTAACTTATGAGTGATTGGTTTTAATACAAGTGGGAGATTGAAAGTGTGTATGTCCTAACGTTAATCAACTTCTAGGGTTTAATATGCACTTGTTATATTATTATAAATGACATCTTTATCATATTGATTGCAAATATATTTATATTTGTATGATAAAACCCTTAGAGTAAATCTAATCAATGAATCATAAGAGTTATGGTGGTGAGATTCATTTGATTATAGATAATGTTTATTTTAAAATGTCTCTAGTCAAAGTATTAATAACACATGGTATTATTAATACGGTTAGACTAGCATATATTATGCTGCTTCTATATGAGAAGTAATAGATCTCATCTATTATGGTGTGTGAGACATCTAAACTATTATATGGGTGCTTGATAATCTAATCAAATTTACTAGATTGAACATCATAGAGATATCATTTAAGTGCTATTTTGAGTACGGACAGTTATATTTTGTTTGTTATATGATTGCTCTTGTAACAGGGAGTACTTACATCATTAGCATATGGATATATACTTGAAATATGAAAAGAAGGTGAATAACCTATAAAGATTTATCACCTCTCATGAAAGAAGAGTCATCTCATATCTGATCACTTGTAGATGTATAACTCGAAATTCTTAACATTGAGTGGAAGAGTCTTAAAAAGTATTTCTAAGTACTTTCTCATTGAAATTATATTTTGGTATGAGAAATGAGCATTAATCAGATAATGGAATAGGCATGATTTATTTCAAGATTAATGTGAGATAAGTGTGGAAAAAAATATTAATTACACGGTAAATGTTTACTGAAAGGTAAAGTTATCCACTTGATTTTTTTCATTACTTAGATGGTCATGACGCATTGCTAGATGCCAATCTTGATCTATAAGAATGAGTTGATTGATTAGTAGAATCAATGATAAATTTAAAAGATTTTTAATTTATCTTATTCTTATTTAATAAGAATTATAACTTATGCTTTTTGCCAACGTATATAAGAATCTAATGGATCACACATATTATGAACTTCTTTAATTGGATTGAATGAATTTCAAGTAGGGACATGATATATAAATTATTATAATTTATAGTTCAATTTTTAAGATAGATTAAACTTGAGGGATTTATGGTGGAAATAAGTTTAGACCTTTCAAATGCAAGAGTTGTATTAAAATAAGGAAATTGAATCTTATTCGAAATTGGTTTATGGATAACTTATTTGTCTATAAATAGTCATTTAACTATTACTAGCAAGACTAATCGATATACAAATTGCCTTGTGAGATTTTTGAGAAAAATCTTGAGAGAAAAATACCCAAAATTCATCCAAGAAAATAAGAAAAAAAAATCACATCTCTTACTTCTTTCATTAAGGTAAGTTTTTCATGGTGAAAAACTAGGGTATTTTGTTCAACCAATTTGTTAGAGGCGTATTGGCAATAGGTAGCACTAATCTAGATTAGACTGATTCGACCTAAGAGGTTCTAGTTAAGGAGGTTCATATGGATTACCATTAAAGGCCAAACATCTAGGTGGATACATGGGGCACTTTTTCATCTTTTTTTTTTTGGAGACGACAACTATTGTATAATCTATCTATCCTAGACTAGAGGGGAGGCAGAGTCTAAAGAGACATTGTGTTAGGGACTAGAAGGTACACAGACCTTACTAGACCAAGGGAGTGCTTTGGCACAATCTTTGAATTTTTTTTGCTGCAAGTGGAATTTGAACCCCCACCTACAGTCCAAGCAGAGTCTTAAAATCCACCTTAGCTCAGTGGTTATGGGGCACTGTATCATTCTCTGCGTCATATCTCCACTGATTCAAGAAGATCTCCATGAGTTGAGGTAATTTTCTTAACTAATTTTGTATCACGTGGACATAATCAAAGATAGATCTAATAAAGGAATAAAAAATTTTAAATTTTTCACTATACATATCTCTATGATTCCTCACACTATAGACATCTCAGGATGAAATTCTTAAACCTAGAGCTCTGATACCACTTTATTAGCACAAAACACACAGCGGAAGTATTAATATCATATCAAATTTTGATAAACCAAGAAACATGCTCTCAATTCATAATTGAGTAGATGAATAAGGAAAACAAAAAGTAGTAAGAAGAAGAAGGATTGGAGTAAAATAATATTCTATTCTCTCAATATTGTATGGCTTGCTCAATTGATACAAATAGGCTACAAGGGCTTCGTATAGAATACTAGACTAACTAATTCCCAAATAGACTTTACAAACCATGACTTCCATGTAGACAACTTTCTAATCTAATCAGGAAACTAATTCCTACGCGACTTCGATAGTTAAACCTAACACAGTCTAAAACATGAACTAATTAATATAAAATTCTAATTAACTTGGTTTAAAATTATTCCAATGCCATCCACGCACAGGGGCTACTTGAAGTTGGGAAGCTTATTATTATTTTTTAACCTGAAGTTGGAAGCTTGATAAGCTCATGATTATACACTATGCTATGTATTACATTATGTTATTTTAATTAGTTATTAGCATGATTTACATTACATTTGGTGCATTAATGAATTTCTTTGAATTTTGTAGGTTGTCCAATTTTGTATGTTTCTTTGAAAATTTTGAAAGTTTTGGCAAGAATTTGTTAAGCTGTGATTTCTAAAACTAATCCTTGCTTAAAGAAAGACTTATTAAAGAAAGGTGCATTGATGCTAAATGACATTTGGAAGTTTGGAAAAACAAGAAAACCAAGGTGATACCATATGAAGAAATTATGGAAATTAGTTTCAAAACGCTACTTGGATTCCAGAATGGCTGGTTTCTATATTTCAATAATATCTTAACCTACATTTATTAGATTGAAAAGATACTTGACTCATTTTAAAGGTAAGATCAAGGGCTACAATTTTGATATATACTAAAGTTCAATTTTGCTGTTTTGACATTCAAAAGTTCAATTTACAATAGCAATTTTTACATATCAGTTGTTAGAAACTTCCATAACTGATTTCTGACCAGTTAATGATATTTTGGGCATATATTTGTAGTTAGACATTCAAACAACTTGATTCTTGATTTGGCAAAACTGTCATTGAATTACCTACATGTAATGGAGTGAGAGCTTAACTGAAGTCAGAGGCAAGACCTAGGTAGCAGGAACAAAGAAAGCATGGATGTCAGTAGTGGAAGGCGTGATCACTGGACCAGAAGGTTATTGAAAGCGTGATCAAAGAATCACGCCTTTTCTGGAGTTTCAGTTGTTCTAACAGAAATTCAAAAGTGCGGCAACTTGCAGATGCAATGGGACACATGTCTCACTCTCATTAGTCTAGTTAATAATTTGTTAGGATTTGCTAGTATTAAAAGCAGGCCTGTTTGCTCAATTCAGTAATTTTTGGAATTATTCCTTCAGATTCGTCTGAATTAACTTCAGGAGCAATTCTCATTTTTCCCTCCCAAATTTTCCTTCGATCTTTCCCCTTCTTAGCTAAATCCATTATTTCTGTTCTTGTAATTTGTTTTCCAGATTCAATTAATGAAAGTTGAAGTTCATTCGTTCACTATTCCATTGATTCAATATTAATTGGTTTCCTTCATTCGAGTTTGATTCCTTCTGCTTCCTGCAAACTTTGGTTTCTCTGGTTTCTGTACCATAATAGTGGTTTCAGAGCTAGCTACGAGCCATTGGGAAATGACTAAAAATCAAGACGAGATAAGAAAGGAGGTAACTGAATTGGGAAGTATAGTCAGAACTTCTGCTAACAGGAGTGATGGACTGGAGCAGGCTGTAAGGATCATGGAGCACAGGCAGGAGAGCATTGAGAAGGCTCACAAAAAATCTGGATCAGAAGTATGAAGGTATGATGAACATGATGGCACAAGTGTTAGCAAAGCTAAACGACAAAGGGAAGGATCTAGAAGGCAGCAGCTCAGAGCCAGAACTAGGACACCAGGAAGGTAACAGGAGGAGAGAGGTGCAAAAAGGAGTTCAGGACAGATATGAGTCCAGAGAGAACAGAACACTCTCCAGGTTGCCTAAGGTGGATCTGCCAACATTCACTGGGGAGAACCCAAGGGAGTGGATCAGGAAGGCCAATAAGTACTTTAAAATCAATGGAGTGGAGGAGGAGATGAAATCTAAAGTTACAGAACTCTATTTCAGGGATAAGGCAGATATATGGTTCCATGGAGTGTTTAATGGTAGGGATGCTATTTCATGGGAAGAGCTCTGCAATGCACCGTGCGAGAGATTTGGAGATGGCTCTCCTGAGGAAGCCATAGAAGAATTCAATAAACTGATGCAGACAGGAACAGTAGCTGACTACTTGGAGCAATTTGAAATGCTCAAAGCCTTGGTAATGCCTTCCCTTCCCCATTTACAAGATTGCTACAATAAAACCTGTTTTCTTAGTGGATTGAAAGAGGAGATAGTAACCATGGTAAAAATGGCCAAACCTAAAACACTAGCAGATGCCATAGAGGCTGCCAAACTATAGGAGAGGAACCTGAGAGCCCTACAGAAGATCCATAAAACCACTTCCTATAGCTCCAACTTCCAGAAACCTTTACTTAAAACCCCAAACTATTCAAAATCTCCCGAAAAATCCCCAAGCTATCCTAAATTCTTTGACAAACCGATTCCCAAAACACACAACAACTGCACCAATACTTAGAACCAGTTTAAAAGACTCACCCCAATAGAATTCAACCTTAGGAGGGAAAAGAGACTATGTTTCAAATGTGCTGAGCCTTATACTATAGGACATGTGTGCAGACAGTCTCATTTAAACCTGTTGATAATGGAGGAGAAAGAGATGGCAACCACTGAGATAGAAGGGGAGAAGAAAGATGAGACTGATGTGTTCTGTGATTGTATTGGAGGGGAATTAGAAAACGAACACATGGAAGTATCCATCCATGCCTTAGCAGGGGGGAGTGAACACAAAACCATCAGGATCAAAGGGATGATTAAGGGAAAAGCCATTATGGCACTGGTTGATAGTGGCATTACACACTGTTTCATTGATGAGCAAGTGGCCAAAAACTTAAAATTAGGACAGAAGGGGGGACTCTTTCAGTAAGGGTGGCAAATGGAGAAAAACTGCAGTCTAGAAACATTGTTAAGCTTGTGACATGGAAAATGTAGGGATATGAGTTTCAACACCAGTTCAATACATCGAGGTTGGGAAGGGTGTGACATGATACTAGGAGTTGACTGGTTAGCCAAGTACAGTCCAATGGAATTTGACTTTAGAGGTCTAAGTATGAAGTTCAGGAAGGAAAAACAACAGGTAGAGCTAAAAGGGGAGGACAATACAGTGCAATTCAAACTAATAAGGGGAAGTAGATTGTACAAATGGACCAGGAAACACGCATATGGGATTCTGGCACAGGTGAGTGCAGTGGTGGACAAAGAACCAGACCAGGAGCCAACACCACCAGAAATGGAGAAGCTATTGCAGGAATTTAAAGATGTATTCCAAGAACCTCAGGGACTACCCCTTGAGAGGAGCCTGGATCACTGCATCATCCTTAAGGAGGGGGCAAAGCCATTCCAAATCAGACCCTATAGGTGTCCCTACATCCAGAAGACTGAGATTGAGAAACTAGTGCAGGAAATGTTACAGACTGGGATCATTCAGCTAAACAGCAGCCCCTTTGCTTCACCAGTACTTTTGGTCAAAAAGAAGGATGGCTCATGGAGGTTTTGTGTGGATTACAAGCAACTCAACGATCTAACAGTCAAGAACAAGTTCCCTATGCCCCTTATTGATGAGTTACTAGATGAACTACATGGATCCAAATACTTCACTAAAATTGACCTCAGAGCTGGGTACTTCCAGATAAGGGTAAGAAAGGAAAACATACCCAAAACAGCTTTTAGAACACACCAAGGGCTATACGAATTTAAGGTCATGCCATTTGGGCTGACCAATGCACCTGCAACTTTTCAAGATTTGATGAATCGGGTTTTCCAGAAGTAACTCAGGAAGCATGTTTTAGTATTCTTTGATGATATACTAATCTATAGTCCTACACTAGAGGAGCATGTGAAGCACGTCACTGAGGTCTTGGGGATTATGAGACAACACCAACTCTATGCAAATGAGAGTAAGTGCTCTTTTGCTCAGAAGCAAGTGGAATATCTAGGCCATATCATCTCAGCAGAGGGAGTAAGAGCTGACCCTAAGAAAATTGACAACATGATGCAGTGGCCAAAACCAGTGAACACCAGACAACTGAAGGGATTTCTTGGACTGAAAAGCTACTACCGAAAGTTTGTCAAGGGGTATGGAGCTATTGCAAAACCTTTAACTACTCTCCTCAAGAAGGATGGTTTCATCTGGGGAGAGAAGGCTGAAGACGCTTTTCAGAAGCTGAAGTTAGCTATGTGCAGTACCTCTGTGCTAGCTCTCCCAGACTTCTCCCAACCCTTTGTGATTGAGAAAGATGCTTACTATGGAGGAATAGGAGCTGTATTAATGCAGAGCAAGAGACCCTTGGCTTACCTCAGTTAGAGCTTGGGACAGAAGAATTTGGGGCTATCAATTTATGAGAAAGAGTTGCCGCCCTTAGTCACAGCAGTCACTAAGTGGAGGCACTACTTGGAAGGGCACCATTTCATCATCAACACTGACCACCAAAGCTTGAAGTATCTACTGGAATAGAGGATCACCACCCCCTCCAACAGAAGTGGTTGACTAAACTGATGGGATTGAGCTATGAGATATGCTACAAGAAGGGGAAGGAAAATTTAGTAGCAGATGCACTGTTCAGGAAGGGGAGGGATGAAGCTGAGTGTGCAGTGACCTCTACAGTGACACCAGAATGGATGAAAGAAGTGATGGAAAGCTACCTGGGTGATGATTGGGCACAAGATATCATCAGGGAAATCTTAACATGTCCAGGGCTGAACTCAAACTACAACTATCAAAGTGGAATTCTAAGATATAAAGGGAGAGTTGTAGTAGGCCGGGGGGAAGAAATAAGGAAAAACTCACCTCTACCCTTCATGACTCTCAACTAGGAGGACATTCAAGCATATAGGCCAGCTGGATGAGAGCTAACCAGCTATTTCACTGGCCAGGTATGTTCAAGGAGATCAAGACAGCAATATTGCAATGTGATACCTGCATGAAGTGTAAGGATCAACGTGTGGCCTATCCAGGACTTCTCCAACCTCTCCTCATCCCACAACACTCCTGGAGTCATATCACCATGAATTTCATAGAGGGGCTACCCAGATCAGAAGGGAAGGACACCATCCTGGTTGTAGTGGACAAGTTTACTAAGTATGCCCACTTCCTGAGCTTATCTCACCCTTTTGATGCTCCTAAGATAGCTAGAATTTTCCTGGATCATGTCAGTAAGCTACATGACATACCTCAAAGCATGGTCTCAGACAGAGATAAGATCTTTATCAGTCAATTCTAGACTAAATTATTCACACTACTGGGGGTGAGGCTAAACATGAGCACAACCTACCATCCTCAAACAGATGGCCAAACAGAAAGGGTCAACCACGTATTGGAAATGTATATCAGGTGTATGTCTCACTTGAAACCCAGGAGATAGAACACATGGCTGTCATTGGCTGAGTGGTGGTATAACACTACTTACCACACTGCTATACAGATGACCCCCTTCGAGGCTTTGTATGGAACCAAGCCACCTCAGCTAGCTCTTGGTCCCTATGAGCAGGCTAAGATGGCAACAGTGGGTGATTTCTTAAGGGATGGGAAGCAAATGGACGAGCTGCTACAGCATAATCTGAAAGCTGCTCAGGAGAGGATGAAAAAATATGCTGATGAACACAGGAGTGAGAGGGAATTTCAAATAGGTGATTGGGTCTACTTGAGGCTGCAACCTTACAGACAATCAATTGTGATGGTTAGGAACAATACCAAGCTATTTGCCAAGTACTTTGGTCCCTACCTCATAGAAGAGAGGATTGGTCAGGTGGCTTAGAAGCTTAGGTTGCCTACTGCATCAAGGATACACCCTGTATTTCATGTCTCTCCCTACTGAAGAAGAAGCTGGGAGACAAAGCTACACCTATCTTACAACTTCCAGACACTAGTGAAAGGGGGCTGATCAGAGTGGAACCAGTAACGTTGCTAGGCAGAAGGATGATCAAAAGAGGGAATACTGCTGTGACACTATGGGTTAGTACAATGGTGGGGAACTGAACCTGTAGATGCAACTTGGGAGGATGCTGTGATGATCAAGGAGAAATTTCCTTAGTTTCAACCTTGAGGACAAGGTTTGCTATGGGGGGAGGTATTGTAATGGAGTGAGAGCTTAATTGAAGTCAGAAGCAAGAGCTAGGTAGCAAGAACAAAGAAAGCGTGGATGTCAATAGTGGAAGGCGTGATCACTGGACCAGAAGGTTATCGATGGCGTGATTAAAGAATCACGCCTTTTCTGGAGTTTCAGCTATTCTAACAGAAATTCAAAAGCGTGGCAACTTGCAGATGCAATGGGACATGTGTCTCACTCTTATTAGTCTAGTTAATAATCTGTTAGGATTTGTTAGCATTAAAAGCAGGCCTATCTGCTCAATTCAGTAGTTTTTGGAATTATTCCCTCAGATTCGTTTGAATTAACTTGAGGAGCAATCCTCATTTTTCCCTCCCAAATTTTCCTTCGATCTTTCCCCTTCTTAGCTAAATCCATTATTTTTGTTCTTGTAATTTGTTTTCCAGATTCAATTAATGAAAGTTGAAGTTCATTCGTTCACTAGTCCATTGATTCATTATTAATTGGTTTCTTTCATTCGAGCTTGATTCCTTTTGCTCCCTACAAACTCTGGTTTCTCTGGTTTCTGTACCATAATACTACAATGTTCATGTTTCACTCCAAAACTAATTCGATATGCCTGAATGTGAATTTTTAATTCAAGTCAGTGGCAAAATGGATTCGAAACTTGATGCAATTTTGATTTGGGTAAATTACGCATAACCTAGTTGTGGCTTCATCTATTGCTACACAATCTCCCTAACATTTAAAAATATTTTCTTCATCCCATGAGGTTTCATGTAATTGAGAATTTGACGGCAAAGAGCAAAAGGAATTTTACTTCTGTAGATTTTGTGTGCCAACATCCACCAACATGATATTTGGGCATGTATTCAGGTTAGATCATGGGGAATCGGTTGTTGATACTGGCCAAAGGCAGAGAGTTGCAAATGACAATGATAAAAGCAAAAGGAAGAAGATAAAAGGTTAAAATGGAATGAGGAATAAAAATGATAAGGAAAACAAGTGGCAAAAAAGTTAGCTTGAAAATTATTCCTAAAAAGTATAAAATTAACTAAAATCTAATAATTGAGCAAATGGAGCAAAATGTCATCAAACCGTTACCTTTTATCGCTTTTTATCACTTAACCTTTTTTCACCCAAAAATATCACTTAACTTTTTTCTAAGCTAAAAATATCACTTTACTTTTTTCTTAGCCAAATATGTCCTTCAACTCTTTAAACATAATTTATTAGTCATTCTGTTAAGTTTGTGCATTAAGGCCGTAGGAAAGTCACACAGGTGACTTGCACAAGTAATCATTGAAGAGTAAAAATATCCAAATCTTCTTTTAGAGACAATTTTGGAAGAAAGAACAATGTTCTTGGGGCCAAAATTAGTTATATTAAAGGATCAAGAACTTTAATCAAACCACATAGAAGTCCCTAACCGAAATCTAATTTCAAAAGAAAGGCCTTCACTCCCAAAATTGGGCCATTTGCACGAAACCTAATGATATACCGAAATCTTTACCTAAAGAGATGAAAATATAATCTTGATCTTAAGAGAATCCATGCCTAGTGTAAGCCCATTGCTCTTATGTTCTGTATGGATATCACCTAAGCCACCATGAGGAATTGATACTGGAGATTGCTCGTACTTTTAAGATTTTTGTTGTTCCACAGGAGGAAAACTGGTAGTTAGAAGAAGCTAATACTATACCTAAATAAGAAAGATGATGAAGTCGACCATTTCTGTGCACGATTTTTTTTAAAACTTCGACTATTTTATCCATGGAACTCTTTGCGCATATCATGCATGTGATTTTTCAATAGCATTTGACGCCTAAATTTAATAGAATGACCAAGAAATTGCATTTTTAATAGTTGAGTAACATTTTTGTCTAAGAAAAAAAATTAAGTGACATTTTCGGTTAAGAAAAAAGTTAAAGTGAAGAAATCGATAAAAGATATAACGGTTTGATGATATTTTGCACCATTTACTCTCAATAATTTGATATCCCTAAAAGGATTTAATAAAAAATGTACGCAAGGGTTTAATTAGAACTATTCTAATCAACAAGCTTTGCATTTCCATAGACACTGCAAGTAGTTCGCTTGACCTCCTTTGTCACTTATTATGAAAGGTAGAGGTGGGCGTGGGTCGGGTACCCGTCCCATTTATCATTTGGCTGATCCAACCCGCAACTTGCAGGTCATCTATTTTCTGACCTTTACCCGCTTCGCATATCAGTGGGTATCCTATAACGGGTACCCACTGAGATAGGATCGGATCACCGGGTACCTGTCCCGCCCCATTTATCATTTAATTTTTTAAAAAATAATTTATACCAATTTAATTTTATATTTTACACATTCATCTAAGATTTAATAATTTTTTTTTCTAAATAAAGGTTTCCCACCAAGAAAAAAGCATATGAAGAGAATATAAGATAAACGAAAAAAATTACAAGAATTCAAAATCAATAAAAGTTTGAAATAAGTAGCACAATTTTAATATATATGTTCCACATTAATTAAACTTTTTTCTATAAAATATAAGATCATGGCCTTTACAAATGAATTTTGTAAATAAACTATAGTCTCTCATATTTGTAATGCAATTTGTTCAATAAAATTACTTATTTAGTTCTAACTTATTATTTTTTAGTGTGTGTATAAAAATAAAAATAAAAAAAAATATATATATATATGCGGGCCGGATCGGGTACTCACAAGTTTTTAATTATGTGACCCTAACCCTCCCCGCATCTTAGCGGATATCCGACCCTCTTTTGACCCGATCAAATAATAAAAATCGGATATCCTAATTTTCGGATCGGATCGAATTGGATACGACGGATTTTCGGGTTACCCCTAATCAAAGGTGCAAAGCTTCATGACCTTCTCCTAAATTACTGCGATGCCACTCCATTACATGCTTATAAAACCACAAAGCAAATATTCGTAGCCAAGTTGTTAAAAGAAAATGTTAATTCTTACTCATATACCAATTCCCGTGCCTCACGCTGGTGGGGGTATCATTGGGTCGGGTTCAGACCCGACCCGACCCAAATCCAATAAAATTTCAGGTTTGAGTTGAAACATTCAATATTCGGACTTGAAATTGGACCCGCTTACTCTAACAAAAATAGGTCGGATACGGAATATAGGATTTCGACTCGTATTCGATCCAGGATCCAAATAATATATTAATAATTATAAAATATAAATATTTTTAAATATATTCTTTTACCAAATTAACAATATTGTAATAACTTTGTAGATTAATTTGTGGTTAGTTTTGGATTGACTATTACGAATTATTTGTAATTTAGTTTTGTAATTTGATTTGTTTAAGTTTAGATATTGGATTTGTGATTGATTTTGGATTTAATTTGAAATATTTAAATTTGAACCCTTTAGATCCGGATCTAACCCGGACCCGATTCTGGAATTCTAAGGTCAAAACTCGTCGGGTATACGGGTTAGATCTGAGTTTACTACATAAGTCTTCGTAATCTTATAAACAAAGTCACTGTTAATATTTTTTCCATGATGGGTTTTTTTTCCCTATCGATGAGGTTTACATACATTAAAATTTTTGGTATTAATTAATCGTATCGAGTACGCTTACAATTCAAAGAAACGCTCATTTTGTCAATTAAGGTTTTTTTTTTATTTTCTAAAAGTATGAATTATTCTTTTTTTTTTGACATCATTTTTTTATTATCAAGATGTCAAAAAAATTTTGGAATACTAAATAATAGTTATTATTTCCATTTTATTAAATGCATATAATGAATCAAATTAACAATATTATGTATATGAATAATAATAGACTCATATTTAAAGAAAATATTATATGTAATTTTATTAAATTATTAATTAATGATATGAATGGGGGGTCAAAAGATTAGGTAATGTTTTTTAAAAAAATTATTATCTTATTATTTTATTGAAATTATAACTTTAGCTCCCCAGAACAGCAAAAATTATTATTTAATGGAGACAATCGATTTATCAAATATTAATTTACAGAGATCTTGCTGTACATGTTGCGAGTTGTATGTTTATTGAACGCTTTTTACGCATTATCCATTTTACTAAAAAAACAACTAAAAAAATAACAAACTAGTTAAGTTCTGAGAGACCAGAGCAAGTTAGCGCGCCAAAATGCTGCTTTGGCGAAGCAGAGTATCAACCGTTAAGTCTCCTTTTTCTCTGGGGACTTTCGTCAAACACCTTCCAGCTTCAAATCCAAGTCCAAACCCAAGTCCCTCCACATTCAAATTCAGCCCCAGTGGAAAACCGCAGTCCATATTCACCACTCCAGCCCTGCCCAAATCCCATTTCCAGGCCTTAACTCAGAAGCAACAACAACAAGTCCATCTCTACATTCACTCCCTCCTCGAATGGAACCAGAAGATGAACCTCACTGCTGTTAGAGGGCAAAATGAGGTAATGGAAAGGCATGTGGAGGATTCACTGGCCATTTTAGAGCCTATAAAGACCTCTTATCTCTCCCGTTGTGGGACTTCTTGCGAAAACCTGAATCTTATTGATGTCGGTAGCGGGGCGGGCCTTCCAGGAATAATTCTTGCTATTGCTTGCCCTGGTATATTATAGTTTTTTTCCCTAGCTGGACTGTTGATGATTCAAGAAATTAGAGTTTTGTTTGATGAACATTGTTGATAAAGGATCACTATGATGTATAGTTGGTTGGAATTGAAATGAAACGCTGATGAATGTTGGTTCTTGCTTATGTGAAGGCTGGAAAGTTGCCCTTTTGGAGTCTATGAATAAGCGTTGTGTTTTCTTGGAGCATGCGGTTGGCGTCACCGGTCTGTCAAATGTGCAAGTTATAAGAGAAAGAGCTGAGGTAATGGCTTTGAAAATTGCTGGCTTGGCATGTGGTTTGATAATGCTGCAATACTTGTCTCAACATGAAATTCTAATTGGATTGGGCTGATAGATCTTGATCTTTTTCTCTTGGTATTCTTCATTAATGATTGATGACATGACTTAAGTTCTAGTCATTTAACTTCAATTTCCTTTCTTTAGCTTGCATCTCGTTCTTTTCTTTCCCTTTTTAGCGCCTTTGTTCTGTTTCGTGATTTCTTAACCAGGATTCTGATGTCCCAATGCAAATCCTTGAAAGTAGGGATGGTAATGGGCAGGGGTGGGGCCAGCCACCTAAAAAATGTACCAGCACCCACATCCCCTGCCCTGCATTCTTAACCCCATCCCATTATGTAGCCTCTGTGGTTCTCCGTTTGGTGCCCTCTTACTGTGTTTTTATTTAAAAAAAAAAAAAAAAATGGAGCCACACCAAACATTCAATCACAATGCAAAAAGTATGAAAATGTCATGAAAATTTCAAAATTCTTTTATCCCTAGTTCATATCTACTTTCTTTATCATAGAACACCTCTTTCTAGTGCCTTCAGTTGAACGAATCAAGGAGGTATTGGTCTATTTGGCAGTGCTGCATCTACGAGCTTAATTTGTCGTAGTCCATAGATAAGTTCTTTTATAAATTTCTACTGTAAGAGTTTCCCTGTATTGTCATTTGAAGTTGGCTGGGGGTGAGTTCTGCTCTTATAGGGCTCATGCTTTCTGTTGTTCTACATGTGTAAGAATTATAACCAAACCTAGGATAGCTAGTCTCTTTAATGAGCTTCACAATCCATTTTACATCTCAGTATATCTATAATAAGTGGTACTTCAATCAATTTGTCAAAACTTCTCCTCGGTATGCTGGATTCTCATGTTCATTTTCCTTATACTATATTCTATTTCTCTGTGTGACGGGAACACGTTCTTTCCCAGTGTAATTGACTGTTCCAGATCAGAGAATGAAGTTTTTCGTTTTTTAATCCTTTCTGCAATTCTTTTGCTGTAGTCAAATTTATATTTTTAATAAATTCATTTTCCTGAACTTTGTGTATGATAGAACCTGGGACACAATCCTGGGTTCAGAGAGGCGTTTGACGTTGCTGTAGCCAGAGCAGTTGCAGAAATGAGAGTTTTAGGTAAATGCAACTGGATAAGGACATAAAATAAGTTCATATCCTGTATGTTTATATGCGTCTCCATGTACATTCATATATTTTTTTAATTATTTGTATTCCTTTAGTGTATCTATGAGTACTATATTGTTCTTCAAGGATCTTTTTGAATCTTTCAGCTGAGTATTGTCTTCCTCTAGTACGTGTGGGTGGATTGTTTGTAGCAGCAAAGGGCCATAATCCTCAGGTTTGCATTTACCAATCCCTTTAAAATTTTTCTTCTACTTCTCTGAGAAATGCATGGCTTCCTTTTCCTTTGAAGACCCTAATTACTGAAGATCAGTGATGCAACATAAGCTTTTCTGCAGGCTTTTCCAATTCTAGATAGGACAAGTACTTTAACAGCAGTCTTTTGTGGTATTGGTCAGAACATTTGGTAGCAGCGATTACATCTGTGGATAAATTTGGGGCTTAGACTAGTGGAATTCTGTTTGAGTTGTTTGAAGGGTAAGTACAGTCGTCCTGCTTACTGCAGATATAAGTACCATGTAACAGGCTGTTTGATTACTTTGTCTAATAGCAGATAAAACCAGTGGTTTTATTGTTTAAGTTGCTTCAGATCGAAACATCAGTTAGTATAATGTAATTGATTAGCATATATCCCTTGATAGGGAAATGAAAATATTTAAAACAGGACACTTTTTTTTTTTGTTTAATAGGCTGCAAGTTATGTTTGATGAAAATTCTAATATGATTACATGAAAGGGATCTTGCTTGCTACCAAAAATAATTTTCCTCTGAATATCTTTGCGCAAAAACTAGTCTTGCATGGCCTGTTACTTTTGTTTACTAAGAAATGCTGCCTGTCTCAATGAAATTTTAGCTCCTGCCCTAAGTTTTGGACATTTGAGTAAAAAATAGAATTTTGAATTGCAGTTGGTAAGGAGAGGAACCATTCCAAACTTTACCTATCAGAATAAATAGAATATAATTCTTACTCCCCCCCCCCCTCCTATCATCCACCCCCAAATGCCGAAGAAAACGAAAATTTTGCTGAAGATTTTGTACAGTCCTTAGAGTGCAATCAAAGAGGTTTTTTCTGTGAATCAACTTGTAAGATTACAAGCCTACACAACACAATGTTGAGTATGAATTGAATTATGCTTATTTGTAAGTGCCTAAGGTAATGATTTGGCTCTACAGTATATAATTAAAGATTATACTAATTTACATGCTTCATTTCAGATTGCAACTGGCGTTTTTTCTTATATAGCAATTCATCATAAGCTTCCTCGAAAGAAAAGTTTGTTTAAGCATTAGGAGATTTTGATTTCAAAATCCTTTGACAGGAGGAAGTCAAAAGTGCAAAGAGAGCTGTTAATTTGCTGGGTGCTTCAGTATTGCAAACATGCAATGGTATGCTGCCGATTTGCAGTTTCTGTAATACATTTCTTGCATTTTTTCTTGGCTTAAAAATTTGATTACACAATCTTTTGATAGTAAATCCTTATACAGCCATTTATTAGTCCATTTTATAGGAATTTGCTAACTGGAATAATTGGTTGTAGATGTTATCCCCTCGGGTTTTTTTAGCATAGAAAACAAGTTTTATGGTACACTTATGTTGTTTTACTTTTTACATATTTGTTTAATTAATATATTTGCGTACTTTTCCCTTTGAACTTAGTGGAATCGAAAAGCAAGTATGGACCCAGAACTGCAATCATTTGTCTAAAAGATGGCACCACACCCAAAAAATACCCACGTGATCCAGGTACCCCAACCAAGTTACCTCTTTAAGTATGATTAGTCCTCTTTGTTCTTCTACTTGTACAATTAATTTTTTGTCAGTTAGAATTGAGATTCATTGTACATATGGGGAGAGCAAAAGGAAAATACTCTTTGTACTAGTTATGCAATTTGTTTTCTATGTTACTTATCCCTGAAGGGGGAAAAAATGAATTGCTCAGATGAGTGGACTCTGATATATGTTCTTTTTTTTACCCCAACCTTCCTCTCTCGTCGTGTCCCTTGATGTACTTTCTTTGCCTAGATTTGAAGGAAAGAAAAGATATAATATATGCTTTATCCCTTTTCTTGTTTACAATGAAGCTTTTATGAAAGATGAAATATGTTTATTCTTTTTTTGCAAGCGGAACTTGGGAGGTTGAATTGAGGTTTTGGTACATATGACTAGATTACTGTATATACATGCGCACTGATGATCACACAATTGGCAAACAATATTTTTCAGATATTTTAACTTCACATTTCCTTTTCTATTCTTCAAAATAACTAATTTTGTAATTCCTAGACTGCCAATACTGTAGAACTCATTTTATATGTAATATTTAGAGGATGTTTACAACACCTGGTTTATGGATACCTATAGCTCCTTCATAAAAGCAAAAATCAACGTGCCTCATAGATATCCTCTCAAATTATAGATGAGGAGTATGCTACAGATTATGCATGATAGCATACTATATCAGATAGAAGTGTACGAGTTTTTTTTTTTAAATAGACTGAACCTCTCCAGCAATTGGTGTAGGCTGAGCAGAAGATATTCCTTTGTAAAAGGCGAAAGAAAAAAGTTCTGTAGACAACATATCATCATTTGTTTATTATGCCAAAAGGAATGGGAGGAAGGACTGACAAAAGAAATAATATGCCCTAGAACTTTTCATTAGCATAAGAAAACTTCAGTTTTTTCCTTTCAGTTTTCGTCCAACGGGTTTACGAGTTTCTAGTATGTAGCACACTAGACACTATCAGAGTATCAGGAGGTTTTCAATGTAGACATATATATCTATTTAATGTAGAAGTGCTAACAGGAAAATATCCTTTATGGCCTATGTAAAGCTTCAGAGAACTCTGTAATTGATATATCTGCTGACGCTAATGTTCCTTATTTGCTGTGGCAGTGCATGATGCAATCTTAGGTTAGGGTAGAAGTTTCTCTAGGGTGGGGTAGTCATATAAACCTCATTTTTTGGTTATATTCAACAATATCTTGATCTATCCTGTAGACTTTTTGGCCACCAGACCTCATTTCAACTCTTTAATATGAGGTGACGCCTTGAAAACAAAGTTATCTCTTGATGGAGAAAACTATCATTTGCCTAACACGTTTCCCACTTGGAATCGGTTAAAAAAGGGTCAAAGTTGAGGTTCTTTAGATATTTAAGTTGGAGATATTTGCGTTGGACAATATTCGTTATCAGATATAAAAATTTAGAAATGAATTACAATCTTTGGCTTAGCAATTTCTTATATTCAATTTGAGGCAATCACTTAGGATGGTTTTGAATGTGAAGCCTTCATCAGAAATCTGTCATCACTTACAGTATTTCATTTAGTAGCCCATTTTTATTCCACTAAATTGCTTGTGCTGTTCCCCAAAAGACTTTCCTCATCCCGTTAAATAATTAAGTAGATTTTGTGATATAGTCAATTAAGGATATGAAACTTCGCTCCATATTTTCTCAGATAAACTACCTTTGTCCTCCCAACTCTATAAAAATTTGGTTAAGACAGAAACATAAAGCTTAAATAACCAAGAAAAATGGGCTATCACAGGTCCAAAATCAGTGTGATACACGTACATATGCGTTTTTGTACGTGTGTTTGGATGAGCACATGCTTATGCTAGTACATTACTTTCTTTATAATCTAGACGAATGCTCCGTTGACACGTTCACTCTCATGCTTGCCCATGTAACTTTGATGGTCCTTGTCTCCTTATATTTCTAGATTTTATTGATTGGCATAATTAAATTGCTCCTTTGACACATCCACTCTGATGCTTTGCCATGTGGCTTTGATGGTCCTTGTCTCTTTGTATTCCTAGATTTTATTGGCATAATTAAGACCGACTTTTCCTGGATGAAAATAACGAAGAGTGGAGACGTCACTGCCACTAATCTCCTCATTCTCTTTCCTCCCTGACATAAGAAGTGCCTCACTATAGCAGTGCAAGCAAAAGTTTTTGTGAACTTGTTGATTAACTTCAATTCAACAGTCTATCTCTAGCTCCCCCAGCCAAACCAACTATTCCCCTCCCTTTCTGAATATGTGCATGCTCACGCCAAACTGGCTTCCATCTGTACGTCCATAGAGAAACACAAGTATGCATACATGTATACATGGATATTTATCTATGTTCATCTGTACGTGTAGTATAAAAGTAGATAAAGGAGCTTAAGGTCTTGTTTGGATTGCTATTTTTTGGATTTTTTGTTAAAAAATATATTGTAGCTAAGTCTATAGTTGTCCTGCTAAGTCTAAGAAAAAAATATCTATATATTTTTATAGGCCTAAGTCTATAGTTTTCCTGCTTCTTTCTTCTTTTTATTTTTATGGTACATTCTCTTTTTTGAAAGTTCAATGCTTCTCAAAAAGAACTAGTTATTCACCCAAGGTGTTTTTTTTTTCTTAATCTTCAAGATTTTTTTTTATAGATGAACATGGATACAAAAGAAGTAAAATAATAAAATTCAACTAAAATTTAAAATACTACGTTTTCCGTGAATACATTTTCCAATCACTTTTTTACCTCACCTATATCAAATCGTTATAGTAATTTTTCTACAAAAAATCCAGAAAAATGTAATCCAAACATGACAAATAAAGACAAACATTGAAGCTAAACGATAAAATATAGTCACTCCTGTACAATACACTAATTAGTTCTCGACAAATCTTACCTTGATGGTGATAAACTATTGTGTGAGAAAGTAAATATATTAGAGAGTATATCAAGATTTGATTCCTTTTTGAAAGAATGTACAGAAAAGAAATTAATAATAAAAAATCCTTCAAAGGAAAAAGAACAAAAAAATGTCTACATAAGCAGCTTGTGATTATGATTCTAAAAAACAGGTAACTGATTTTGAATCTTCTAATTAGAAGGAAATAGAATATATATTTTCCTTTTTTTTTTGTACGCTGGAGAATGAATGGAAATTAATTAGAATTTTATAAATTATAATGATTAATTATAAGAAAAAAATATATAATTCCTTCAATTTTACAAATTGGAGAATGAACAAACCTCGATAGATTATACCAAAAAAAAAAAAGAAAAGATACAAATTAATGTAAAAAGGAAGAGAATTAACTGTTAACGAAAAATGAAAAGAATAAGAATGTAAGAAATCAATATGTTTATTGATATTTGTTATAAATATGGAAGTAATGAATTACAGAAAAAAAATTCCAAAATTTAGTAATAGTAACTTCTAATGTATACTCACTATGAATTGATTGTATTGATTTTTAATTGGTAGAGGTAGCAGAAACTTAGACGTTAAAACTAAAGACCACAACAGGAAATAAAGAACCTGACATATGCGTATCTTGATTTTGTGCACAAGAGTCCTGAGCCATTTAGCAATTTATACTGAGTAAACTGTTAATATCTGCCAGATTTTGGTATCACAGTCTAGACTGCTACTGTAAAGGAGAAATGAAGAAGCTGCATCCGATGTATTGCTATGATCTTTTGCCATAGTCAAGCACTTTACTGGGCCTGTGTGACCTTCCAAAACTGCCAAGCAAGAGTAGCTTCTTTCAACCCCTGTCCAAATTCTTACTGTTTTATCTGCTGAACCACTGCAGACCAAATTTGACACTACAGCCAAGCATAGGATGGACTTTGTGTGACCCTTTAGAGCACCCACTGCCAACATCCAACTGCCATCATCCTTTTCCCAAACCAATACAGACCTGTCACAGGCACCAGAATACAACACAGACCCATCTGCACTTAGCGCCAATGCATTCACCCCAGATTTATGCCTTTCCAGAGTAGCAACTAGAGAATGCTTCTTTTGTCCCAAGCCTTTTCTCCATACTTTGATTTTCTTGTCTGCTGATCCAGTATAAACGTGCCCATGAGTTGATAATGCCACTGCATTGATTGCATCATCATGTGCATTTGCTACTGATTCCAAGCATTTGAAATCTGTCGTCCGCCAAATCTTGAGTGTTCGATCCCAAGAAACCGAGTAGAGATGGGACTCATCAGTTGACAAGGCTAGTGCTGAGACTGTGTCAACATGCTGTACCCATATGCATTTCTTGTGTCGTCGGACTTGAACATGGTTCTTAGGGTTAAGACAGTTGAGAACACGATCACTTAACTTTGGCAGGGTGGCTAGATGTGTGAGCTTCTTCTTTTCTGCTTTATCACTGTCGATTTTCCAAACTCGGATTTTGTGATCTTGATGAGCACTAAACAGTTTATCAGCTGAAACTACTAGGGACTTTACTGCTCCCTGTCCAGCAGTTACCACGTTGCCAGTTAATTTTTTATTAAGAGGCTTTAGATCGTTCCGCCTCCATAGACGTATTTCTTTGTCAGAAGATCCTGTAAGAAGGAACTTTCCTGCCAGAAAAAGTGAGGATGTATAGGAGCTCTGACCCGTTAGAGTAGCGATGCACTGGTGGTGGGCAGTTGGAAACTGGTGCTGCTGGAGCTGGAGTTCAGATGTAAGAGAAGGAATTGACCGGAGGCTGGGCTGGGTTTGCAGGGAAGTTGGCTCCTCCTGGCCAAAGCTTCCATGGTGTGAAAGCAAATTATTGCTTGAGTTACAAGTTTGATGATACTGCACCATTCTATTCACCAGCACACAAACACACACACACACACACACACAGACTCAGACTCACTATTTGATGTGTAAAGATAGCAGAAACAACACTAACAGGGTCACTTAAGTAGTCTCTGCCTTCTGAAAACAAAAAAGATGGACAAAGGATTTGGCAATAGTCTTTTCACCAACCTAATGTAAAGAGCAATGATGCTCCAGGCAAGAATTCTAGGGAGGGACGGTTTGCCATCATAATTACGTGAAAGTTTGGCCCTAATTAGTTGTTTGATGGACCAGATCAAAACCCTTTTAGTTTCTTTCAGAGAGAGAGAGAGAGCCTAAAGGTCATTATCATATTTAGAAGGTTGGAACAGGTTGAATATCTAATCAAGAAGAAAAACAAAATTTTTTTCCCCTGCTCCTGTGATTGGTAAGTTTTTCCATTGGAATGCACTTTTGGTCGACAATTCTGTGATTGGGGAGAACTTAATCCTTTGTGGCCATAGCAAATTTAAGCTTTATGACACTGAGAGCAACTAAAATAGGGATAATTGCACATACCTCCCCTGAGGTTTTTGACAATGATAGGAAGCTCTCCTCATGTTCTAAAAATTACACCTACCTCCTCTATTTTCATTGTTCAAGTAACATTCTAGGCCTAAAAGATTACTCAGAAATCTTAGAATAAAAAGGAAAAAAAATGGTTCACTGTCTTTATGTCATTCATCCTTGCTTTGCTTGCTATCACCATTACTTACCCATCAGCATCTAGATCACTATTAAGTAAACGCTCGCCTTTGTTCTATAGTTCTTTTTTTTTTTTTTTTACCTAAAGACTTTCAGTGCAGATCATTAAATCAACTAAAAACACCGCATCAGATACCCAAAAGCTTAACTACAATCTAATGTCAACATCAAATTTTGCTTAATACATAACAATATTCAACAATCCAATTCCATGGCTACCACCTTTCTAATACAAAATAGTCCAATCACTATTAATATTAACATCTAATATGCTCTATTAGCACAGAGTTCAAAATTAATCAAATTCTCTTTATATGACTAGCATCACTAATAATTGCAAATGAAAAATAAAAACAAAATGCGGTTATAAATATACAATAAACATTTTTTTATAACAATTATAACAGTGTAATTTTTATTTAGTAGCTTTTCCACTTCTCATCCTTAATTTTTTTATTTTTTTCACTTTCACTATCTTCAAATCTATCTAGTTTGATAACGAAATTATCACTCAACTTGTTGTTTAACAATTTCAATTTACTAATACCTATCAAAAGTTAAAAATAAAAATGGTTGCAAAGAAGCTATTTAATAGTAATTAAAAAGAGACAATTGGGAATGAACACGAAAATAGGCAAGTATTGGTGGTTGGTATGCATGACAGTTTTGTTGGTGGTGGCAGTACACATTTGATCGATAGAAATAAGTAAATGAGTTTGGAAGGAAAGAAGATGTAGAAAGGTAGAAATGAGAGTTAAATGGGAAAGATTGTAGTTTGAATTATTGGTTAACAATAG